GTAATTTATGGGCTAATTTTAATTTTTGGGTGAACTAACCCTTTAGTTCATCAATGTGTATTATCTCATGGATGTACTATCTATATTTGCAAATCTAATTAAGCACAACTTATCTGATGATATCATAATTGACTGATATTGTGAACTTCTCAGTATCCTCATATTCTCTTTGCTGTCAGACTGAAGGAGGTTTTTGTACGATGCTGTTTCCCTGTGAGCACCTGCCACTGTAAGCCCCCATACAGTAATAAACTCCTGCATCCTCAGGCTGGACTCCACGTATGTTCAGTGTAAATTCATATCCAGAATAAGTTCCACTGAACCGATCTGAAACTCCAGATGCAAGGTTACTCGTTGTGTAGATCAGGAGTTTAGGGTTTTTTCCAGGTCTCAGCAGATACCAGCTCATGTCATAACCAATTCCAGAAGATGCAGTGCAGCTGATAGAGACAGAATCTCCTGCTTTAACAGACAGATACTCAGGAGACTGAACCTCTTCATGAGACACTGAGAGAGACAACAAAAACAAATATTACAATTACTTTAAAATACAAACAAAGACCAGTTTTCATCTGCTATAAAGCAGTCAATCTAAACATAATAAAACTAAAAAGCAAAGCACAAATTAAAATAATATAAAATTAATTCCCTTATGTAAAAATATATATTCCTGAACCTTGAGCAAGCAGACAGAGTGTCCCCAGCATTAGAATAAGAGAAATCATTGTTTCTTATGTGTCTGTGTCAGTGTCACACACTAATAATCATCAGTGGAGTTTTAAGCGCAGTGTTCAGTTAATATGCAAAACACTTTCCAAAACACATTCAGATGCATCCTGGAATTTACCATCAAAATATATTTTTCAGCATTTAATTAACTGACATTAATAAAATAAAAATAATTAATTTCTAATTTTGTCATGTCTAAGCAAAACTAAACTAAGATACATAAGATAATACTAAGATATACTAAGATAAGTCTAACAGTGTTATTGTGAGTGTTGATGTCAGTGTCAGTTTTAGTGCAGGAGGTTTTTGTACAGCCGGTGATTGGGTTTGTATCACTGTGGCGCTCGTTCGGTGGAGGCACCCGACTCTCAGTTGGAAGTAAGTAAATCTATTTCTATTTCTATTTCTGTTAATTAATTAATTAGTAAGAATAATAAGAAGAACCGACCAATAGAAGAAGAGTAACTAAAATAAAAAATAGGGTATCCTATTTTAGCCTTGTGTGACAGAATATATACATGTCTTCTAAATGAGTTCAAATTAATTAGTTTACCTTTTTATCTATTTGAGTGGTAAATAAAATATATGCATTTTATAGATTAGGTTTATGCACTTCATGTGAAATAGAAATATGTCTGACTACTGTTTCAGATGTCAGTTATAAGTACTGTAAAATGGGGCATTAAACACACATAAAAATCAGTACTGTTGGTATCAGATTTGGCCATGAATCTGAATGTGTAATTATGAACTGACGTTTTTCATGAGTAGAAAAAAGGGACATTATTTACAGTAATGTATAAAATAATACTTATTACAAAATAATACAAAATAATTTTCTTTTTAAAGTCTGAATATATTGCTCAGAATATAAACCTCATAGACATCATTCCAATATATAAATTTAAGTCTCATATATTCATAAACCTTGATTTTTATGAACACTGAATATATTAATATGAATACTGATACTAATGTCTTTTTACAGGCTGTTGAACAATGTTGTTTCAAAATTAAGCATTCATGCTTTACTTAAAATGATACGTTTAGTTTGGTTAAGTTGGATATTTAAGTTATTTCAAAGACAATAACACAACTCAAAGACATTGATATAACTAATTGCAGCATTATTTTAAAGTGTTAAGTTTTTTAATTACTTTTTTCATTGAATGTCACATAAGACAGAAATGTGTTTTCTTCTGGTGTAGCTTTCAAACTACAAGTAGCTATAACTGTAAGTAACACAGGTTTTTAACAAATAATTTAATAATTTGGATATATGTTGACAAAAACCATATAACATTATCTATAATTTATAATTAATAAATAATAAAGTATGTGTGATTGCTGGTAAAATGTGTGTTTTTATGGACTGTTGCACTTCAGATTTGCTTGATTAACTCTGAATCTCTTAAAGGGAAGTGAAAGACACTCAGAAAGACTGATAGAGCTGTTTTTCAGAAGAATGAAACATCACAGTTTCCATCTGTGTCTCTCTTTAGCTGCGGCTCGTCCCGCTCTCACAGTGCTGCCTCCCTCCAGAGACGAGCTGCAGCAGGGTAAGGCTACAGTGCTGTGTGTGGCCAGTAAGGGATTCCCCTCTGACTGGAAGCTGAGCTGGAAGGTGGACTGTTGCAGCAGGAGCTCTGGTGTCAATCTGAGTCCCAGTCAGTTGCAGAAGGATGGACTGTACAGCTGGAGCAGCAGCCTGAGCCTCACTGAGAGTGAGTGGAGCAGAGCAACAACCGTCAGCTGTGACGCCACGCACCCGTCCCACAATGCAGTGACCAAGAGCCTCGACACACAGCAGTGTGATGAATGAAATACACACACACACACACCGCTGTCAGTATGCCGTTTCATGCTGTTGGTATATTGCTCATATATTCTTATCTGTTGTAATTCTACAACTGCAATGCTATTAATGTTTTGTTGATTATTTTATATTTTACTGCTGCCAAATAAAAGCATTTTGACTTAAATATGGCGTTGACTTCTTAATGTGATATTAAACATAAAAAAAATAAAAAGAGATATTTATGTTAACGTGGCATCTTAATCATTATTTTAGATACATATAATAAGGTTGTATGATGTTGTTTCACTGTGTGAACACTGGACCATCATTATACCCCATACAGTAATATTTTCCTGTGTCCTCAAGCTGGGGTACTTGTATGTTAAGCGTAAATTCATATCCAGAGTAAGTTCCACTGAACCGGTTTGAAACTCTAGATGCAAGGCTACTTGTATAGTAGATCAGGAGTTTAGGATTTTTTTCCAGGTTGTAGCAGATATCAACTCATGGAATAATGCTAGACGATGCAGTGCAGCTGATAGAAGCAGATTCTCCTGCTTTACCAGATCTCTTGATGAGACAATGAGGGAGTAAACAGTTACATTTAAATACAATTGATAAGATATTGACATCCTTCATAAAAACATTTGTCATAAAAAATGTGCGTGTCCAAAGTTTTACCAAATAAACTGTAGAAAAATAGAAATAATGTAGAAAAATGAGTTTTAACCTTGTGCAAGCAGACCCAGTGAAGCCAGAATTAGTAAAACAGACATGATTGTGTTGTGTGTCAGTGACTCTGGCAGGACTGAACACACACTGATCATCAGAGTTTTGTGAGTGAAGCCGTGAACATGCAAAACACTCTCCACTCTACAGACTTCTGTCAAAAACTCATTCAACTGCCTGCTGGATTTAGACATGGATTTCAGAAGAGGAACCAAAATGAGTATTGGAAGTAGGTGCAGCATAAAATAAGAAATTGAATAAATGCTCAGAAATAAAAAAAAATAAAAAATAAAAATCATACAGCATTTTCTGAAAGTATTTGAATTATCTTCTGTAAAAAACTGTTTTGAGAAATGGAGGGTTGTAAAGTAAATAATAAAATTACCTTAATATTTCATTAAAGATAAGTAAATGGAGGAGAAGCATTCAATATATATCATTAGTAGTATTGCTTGTTAACAATAATAAACCTACACTATACAGGAAAATAAATAAATAAATAATCCGTCTGAATTATGGAAATACTATGTTACAGGCGAAGGATGGTGGAATATACATTTCTATAAATATAAATTGGTTTGGATGATTAATTATATTAAAAACATAAACATGTGAGAGTTTTTGTGTCATTGTGTTTGTTCCTTGCAGCTGCATCAGAAGAAGTTAGTAATCTGACCAAGGGAGGTTTTTGTACGGGAACTTTTC